TCTTGGACATTAAATTTAATCAAGGTGTCACCAAACTCCATGGTTAAAGTGTCAGCATAAAAATCTATCTTGATGTGTGCGATATTCAACTTCACTGAGACATCCTCAAGTAATACAACTGGTTGAATTGTGCTCTTATTTATTAGTTGAATCATTATACCAATAGGTTGCATATATCCAAGGCACAATGAAGAATACATGACTAAAGACAACATCAATGGAGGCTCATATATCTAACATGACATGTTCAAACCTCTTATTTCTTATCACACATGGGTCTTTACATTTTTCAAGAATTAATACATTGGATGCAGTGAACAAAGTATACTTGTTTTTTCCTAAACTAATATTTTCATTACTCTTGAGAATTCTTTTATTTGTGCACATATCTTTTAGAAGTTTGGCATATTTAGGCACTTTCTTAATGGCTTCAAGTAGGGGAATGATAACTTCTATCTTCTGAAATAATTGCAGTAGCTCACTATGCAACTCCTCATTCTTCTTCACCGGTGAATTACCTCTTGAGAGAGGGAATGAAACATGAATTGCATGATTACTAGCATCAATACTTATCGGAATTGTAGTGACTATTTTAGTTGTGCTTGAAGTTGTTACTTCTTTACTATGTTCTACTACTTCCTTTTCTTTAATCTCGACACAAATTCCAGCCTTAAATCCTTCATTTTCATCATGTTTTGGATTATTTCCAGTCACTAAACCAACATCAATACTGGTATAAGCTTCAGTTACACGTTTAGACCTTTGTGCTGCATAATTTGCTTCAATTTGGTGTTGTTCTTTCTCTACATCTGCTGTAACACGATTAACAACTTTTTCCATTTGATTTTATGGTGAGATTCATTAATTACAGGTTCAACAAGCACCTTCCCTGCTCTCAGATTCATAACTCACATTCTTATGATTAACTATAATTTGGGAGGGCAAACCATCTACAAACCTTGATTGTTGTTGGTTCATGGTGGTAACAAGTTGTCAAACTTGATTCTCTAGAGATTTGATACTTACCTCAATCCTTTGCTGAAATTGCAGATTGTTCATGGTGAGTTTCCTCATTAATTCCTCCAAAAAAGAATGACTTTCATTATAGGAGGATTGAGCTTGTGGACCTTTCCCAAATTACTGCAATTGTTTTTTTTTTCATTTTGTTGTTTATATGGCCGATGGAATTGTGGAATGATATTTTGTGGTGGATAATATGGATGTTGAGGTAGAGATGGATAGTTATGCTATTGAGGATAATGATTAGATTGCTACACATGCATATTTTGTTGTTGCATAAGCGGTGGTTGCATAACATTAGCTTGATTTCCCCATTTGAGATTAGGATGATTTCTCCAAGAAGGACTATATCAATTTGAACTCCAATCAACATTAGAATTAAGGGAAAATTTCTAAAAAACAATACACACCTATGGATCTTCATTAGGCAATGCTAGATAGTTGTGAACATTCATGTGTAACATGTTCAGTTGAAGTACATATCTTACACACAACACCAATAGGAAGTTTTACTACATAGGTGCTTGTGTGTGTGTAATAGTTTGAAATTATTGTTGATGTTATGCCAATAGTTTCACGATGATGCAAGGTTTTCTAGTTTATTCTCCACCTACTGGTACTCCATTGAATAACCTATTTGTACCTCATACACACTTCTCACAATTGTGTTGCCTCTGGTTGAAAATTGTTGAGAGTTAGTGGCCATTGTTTCTATCAGTTGTCTAACAACTGTGGGAGTTTAGTTGACAAGTCTCCACCACTTATTGCATCAATCATGCTTCTATCCATGATATTAAGTTCTTCATAGAAGTATTGGATGAGAAGTTGTTCATTAATCTAGTGGTGAGGGAAACGTGAGCATAACCTCTTAAATCTCCCTCAATAATCAACCAAATTCTCTCTATCCAACTGCCTTATACCACAAATCTTTTTTCTAATTGATGTAGCTCTAGAGGTTGGAAAATGTTTCTCAAGGAATAGCCTCTTCAAGCTCTCCCAACTTGTACCAGATCCATGAGGTAAGTAGTAAGACCAGTCTTTTACAACATCATGCAGTGAAAATAAAATGTTTTAAGTTTAATGTGATCCTCACTAACACCTTAAGGTCTCATGGTAGAACAAACAATGTGAAATTCCTTAAGGTGCATGTGTGGATGTTCACTTGCAAGACCACAAAATCTGGGCAATACATGTATCAAAACTATCTTAAGAACAAATGGTACATCCTCATTATCATCAAATTGTATGCATATGTTATGATATGAACATCATGTGCAACCAATCCTCTAAGTGCTCTCTCATTCAAATTATTCTGAGTCATGTTTTCAATAGTAGGTGAGATATTTCCTTGCCTTTTTTTGTTATTTTTTCAATTATGTAAAGTTATTTTAATTCCTGGATCAAATGCAAAGGTTTTAGCACTATGGAACGAAGCATTCAGATTCAGAAATCAAAAGAGAAAAGAGAAAACACAATTTGTACAAAAAAATCACAAAAACAAAACTATTAGAGCAAATTCGTTGAGCGAATAACGATCTGTGGAGCAAAATCGATCTAGTGGCTAACTAAACTAAAAAGTAAACAATATGCTAAGCGAAGAGGTTCTTGCAGGACGGATGTAACGAACTAAACAAAAATTTAAACACTAAACAAAAATCGTTCAGCGACTGGTGTAATGAACCAAACAAAAATTTAAACCTTAGACAAAAATCGTTAAATAAATCACACAACCGCTGAGCAAAAAAATGGACAAAAACAAAGATAGACAATATTGCAAGATATTTGCTGAGCGAAAAATTGACAATGCCAAAATAATTTAACAAAAGCTGTAAAAAACTTAAAGAATTGGATTAAATCTACATCTTCAAAGTTGTAAAAACTTGAAGAAACATCGTAAACGAAAATTGCAAGTGAACAATAGAATTGAAATGGAAAATTGAAGTAAAATCAATGAAGAACAATGAAGAAATTCAATAAGAAGCAATGTTGATTCTTCAATCATAAACTTGTTTTTATGATTATCATTGATATTTATAATTTGTCTAGCAATCAAAGTAAATCCAAAATAGTTTAAAACAATTACAATCTAATTGAAATTCAGTAAACACAACTTAATTCTAGAATCAAACAATCACTTAAACCCGAAAATTGAATTATAATGTAAAATGATACATTTAATCAAATAACCTCAATTAAATTGATTGTAATGAATTATAATAGGTTAGAATCATTAAGAACCAAAACAAAACCATAGAAAACGAGTTTTTATCGATGAATTAACAAAAAAATGAATTAGAACATGATTGAGAAGTGAAAAACCAGAAAAAACATGAAAACAATAAAAGAAATGGTGTAAAAGTAGTAGAAGAAGATAAAAATGAAAATTATAGCGAAGAAGTAAAAAAAACAAAAAAAACTTTTTCAAAGACAACTTGAATTGATAATCTTCAAAATATTATTCGTACAAAAAGCTCCATAAGCAGACTTGGAAGCTAAACATCATAAAGAGAATAAAACTTGAGATAATTTGAGATCTAAAACTTGGAATTTAGAAAATGAAATTTAACTTATGTCTTTTGAACATTTTAAACCTATTTATACAACAACAATCGTGTACAAAGTGAACCAGACTCATAATTACATAAAGAACTTCAATAGTTTTTTGCAAAATTGAGGTTTTACGATGAATTTGCTCAACGATTCTTTTACTCGCTCAACATAAGTGTTGTTAAGTTAGTTACATTCAACTTATTTGTTTAGTAGATGACATGTTCACTTAACGGATGATTAAATTTAGGAATAAGTTATTTACTGAATTTCGCTAAATGAATTTCCTCTACGTCTCAAATTAAAATTTATATAATTTTTTTTAATTTATCATTTTTGCCAAAATAAATAATTAATTAATTTAAATGTGCAATTTAAATAATAAATTAGATTCAAAGATATTTATTTCCTTTTTATAAAATTTATGTTAAATATTAATAATTAATTAAAAAATATACTAAATATATATAAAATACACTAATAAATTAATTGATAAAATATATTCATCACTATACTAAAAAATATATTATAAAAATCAATATATTAAAAAACAATTATAAAAATCAATATCTTTAATGAGTGGTGATAATTTAAGTAGTTCCTAAGTATGTTTTTATTAAATAATTGTTACGGACAAATTGGGAAACAAAAATCACACAACTCACCAACTTCTTTAAGTCACAATTGGATCCTTTTAGCAAAAATTTCCCTCACCTGTCTTCTACCCCATAAATGCAGACCGTTGGATTAATTGACTAAGATTAGAAGAGAAAAAAAATCACTCCCCTCAAGCTTTGCTCCAAAAGATGCAACTAAAATATCACCCGCACTTCTTGTGTTGTTCCTTCTAAAAGGCCATGAACAACATAATCTCAACTATAAGAGATGTTTTTTGTTTGTTGGACTAAAATGTTGATGTAGTGGTAAAAATCCTTAGCAACCCCAACAAAGAATACCCAATTTTATAGAAAAAATTTGAAGTGCTTTGACATGGCTCATGTTACACAGAATCCCAAAATTTCTTTACTTCTTGAATCTATTGAATTAGATCAAAAGAAGATAGATATGAAAATGGTAGGAGTGTGGCCATCTTGCTGTAGATGATCGCAACGCGTTATGTCAGACACTACTTCAAGTAGTTTATCTTTGCAAAAAAAAAAAAGAAGCTAATTAACAAACTTGTAAACTACAGACTTTATGGTACTTCATGGTAGAAAGAGAAACTGAACATACAAAGATAGACAAATCCTTGTGGTATTTTTAGGTATTTTAAAAAAAAAGGCACATATATAATACAAAGTTATATGAATGGGAAGTCAATATTCAATTGTAGGTCCAAGAAACGAGTAGAAGAAAAGCTCAATACAAAGATTTGGCCCAGCAGTCCAAAAGCATACAAACAGAATATAACTGGCAACTGGTGTGCAACTTTCTCAACCAGTTTCTTGCTCAAATTCTTCACCCTCTGATTCCTCCACATTGTCAGCATCATCGTCATCTAACTCATTGTCAAAGTCTTCTTTATCATTTTCGTTTGTGGTTTTCCCTATCACAATGAGGTTGCTGTTCATCTTCCTAATTTCATTGCACTGCAATGATTAATGCCAACAATGAAAGATATGAGTATGAGGCAAGGACCAGTATGAAAGAGAAATTCAATGATGCACCTTGTAACTTCTTATCTTCTTAACTGAAGACTAACTTATGTCATGGATAATCCAAGCCTTTTATTTTTAAAAACTATGATGTATATGTGAACGATTACTTTACATATCTGCCCGCTAGGTATATTCAGGAAAGCCATGCAACTAAGTTCAAGCAAACAGGTAGATGCTAATGTGACAAAATGATAGGTTTTTCTTTGAGGAGATTTTTTTTTGTTTTGTGTGTTTATTTACAGCATGTTAGGTATGGCCTTTTCACATCACATCCATTACAAAAATCACATCCACAGACCTCAATGTTGCAGAAGCTAATTTTATTGTTTGTTTCATATAGATGTAGTGAGAGGCTGACTATCAATGTTGTAAACTTCATTCCAAACATCTCTTAGGTTATGTTTAGATTAACGTTTGTAAACTAAGTTTAGACAAAATTCATTTTGCAAACTGAGCTTATAAAAACAACTATACATTTTCTTCTATCTTAAATAGTTTCAAGACAAAATTGTAATGAAACAGTTTAAAATTAGGCTCAACTGAAAACCAAACAAGATGTTTTTTACGTTTTACTTTCTGAGCATATTTTTTGGGCCAATGACACTAAAAGCCAGACATGCACTTAGTATAATCTGAGGATATCTCCTCACTTGAAGTCCGAGATTAATTCCTTTAATAAGACATGGTGATCATTATAGTAGACTTTGCCTTTCTCCACAAAGCTTTTATCATATACAAAGCTAAGAATATGAAACAGTGGTAAGATCAACAAGGTTTAGGGATCCAAACATCCCTGTGTGACAACTTTGTTGGCAAATTATCCTTATACGATGACCAAACGTTGATTTTCCCTAAGATAATAAATCTTAAGAGAAAGGTGCTAACAAAATGAAAAACAAAACATTCTACCTACTACACATCTGAAGGGGAGAGAGAGGAGGATTTAGCATAAATTTAAGACATATGTGTATAGATTAATATATCTGCAATAAATCATGTGTAATATTTCTCATTTTGTGAACTCCCAGTTATGACCATTTTCACACTAATGTTTCAAATTATACATATGCTGCTTCAGAATTGTCAAACAGGTTCAAATTGTCGTATAAAATCCATTGAAGGCAAAATCAAAATATTTAACCATCATAATTCATAAGACCGTATGACCGAATCCCTACATGACTCTGTACATCCCAAATTCCCAATCATTTGATGTGATACATTACAAACCTAGAGAAACAAAAATATGTCCGCAACAAAGTGGTGTATAAAAGGAGGAACATAGTACAACCCAAATGATACAGTTCCGAATGAACTTATCTAGCGTTAGAAACCGAATCCAACAAAGAGATAACATAGGATAAAAGGTGGAGGATAGAGCCAAGAAAGGACCTTTTCTTCGAAATCGGACTCTTCCATGGCCAGAAGGAGTTCTTCGCTTTGGGGGTGGGGCCACTGAGAGGGAAGTAGAAACGATGTCGGAATGGTCCTGGTGGACAGTGGATACTGCGTCATATACGCCGGAAACTGTAACATCTTTTCTCACTCACCCTCTAACTCACACTCCTTCCCGATTTCATTTCACTTTGTTTCTTTCCCAATAAATAATATAACCGTTACAAACTATTATTATTATTTTTTATTTTAATCAAAAATATTTTTGACATTTTTATTAATTATAAAAAATGTTATACCTTTTTAAATTTTAAATTTAATAATTAGTAATTACTTTTAAAATTGCTTAAGTCAAATTACATTTAAAATAAAATTTAAAGCTATGTTATTATCAATTATAATTTATTAATTTTGATTTATAACTTTCATTCTTACTATTGAAAGAAATTTCCTTCGTATAATTCTTGGTACTTGTGAATCCTGAAAATTATTACTCATATAAATAATTAAATTTGGAATATCTGTATAATTTTTTTAAAATAAGAAGATACTATGTTATTTTTGTTAAATTTTTTACCTTTGTTATCACATTAAATGATTTGATAAAAATAACATGATATTATTTTTCACAAAAAATATATTTTTATTTGATAAGTTAGTTTTCCACCTTCTACGAAAAAAATTTGATTAAAAAATTATTAGTGTGTACCTTTGTTTCTTGGAGTGCTTAAAAAAATTAAATATGAAAAAAGAAACTTTTTAATTCTAGATTTATGAAAAATTAAAAAGTTTTCCCTCTACCAAATGCTCTCTAGAAAATATTTTTCAAATAATGTTAAAAATATTAACATTTTGAAACTACTTTACAAAAGAAGAATATATTTTTTTTAAAATATGGTAGTAAATTGGGAAGGTGTAATAAGTTAAATTGTTATTATTTTTTGACAGAAAACTTGCTTGTTTTGCAAAACCTCTTTTATATATATATATATATATATATATATATAATAATAATAATAATAATAATAGTAATAATGGAATGGTAGTTTATATATTAAAAAAAATTATGCAAATTTTTATTAATAAATTAGTATTGAAATAATTTTAGATGTTATACTGCTAAGTTTCAAACTTTTTTTATAAAAAATAATTATATTATAAATGAACTAAATTATAAAAGTTCATAATGGAACGATAATTTATATCTAAGAAAAAAATGTTTATGTAAATTATATTAATAGATTATTTTTATAAAAAATAACTATATTATAAATGAACTAAATAACTCAAACTAAAATTTACTATTTCTTCACTAAATTAAACTCAAACTTTTCATTAAGCTTAAACTATCACTTTATTTATAAGTTAAGTCCATATTTAAAGAGTCCTACCTGGACAAGTGTTATAATATTATTACCTATAAATAAAATTATTACATAATTTAATATTTAGGCTTTTTATATACTTACTACTAGTTACACACAAACCTTGGATATCACCTCAGCTCTACTTTTCATGTCTTTTGTACAGTTTTTTATACTTATATTTTTAGTAATTGCTTATTTCTTTCATCTACAACCTAATCCTTTCTAGTTATATGTGTTTCTAGATTTAATACTTTAATCATATTTAGAACTTTCACCTCAACAGTACATAAAAGAGATTAACGTTCCACTTTATGTACAATAATCAAACTTATTTTATATAGTTAAGTTCTATATTTGGTAGGCAATTTCTTAATAAAATTCAAAACCATAATCAAATTCTAAGGACAGTATTCTCTCAAAAAAGTTCACAGGTTATATAAAATATCTTATATTAGATAAAATAAGAATGTGTTAATGAGATATATCAACATAAGAATTAGATGGATAGACATTTATATTCAAAGATGTTATTTAGAAGAAGGTAACACCCCCAACACTACATTGAAGACTTATTCTTCCTTTCCTGTGAAATTCAAGTGTCAAATTCTTATAATTTAAGAAAAGTTATTAGAATCCCACGCCCATACTTATCCTACGTTGTCCGGTTTCTTCAATCCAAATTCCCATGTCATCTGACAACCGTTTCTGCACCGTTCACATAATACATCAGAGACAACAAACCCACACGGAAACTAAATTCAAAGGAAACTTCGAACCCATAATAACGACAACCAAACCTGACAAGTGATGACGTGAATCATGAATCATAGATCATGAATTCCGAGGAAATCATCATCCCTAAGGAATGTCTAATAATAACTAACGAGTTTCCGTTTGCATGCAAACCTCGTGTCATTTCCCTTCAACATCCACGTATTCCTCTGATAACACGTGACTCCCCTGTTTATTCCACCGAACATAAAGAAGAAAAAACCATTCTTTTCCTTTTACTGTAACACCTCTTCACACTAACATGCCATCCTGCTTTTGCTTATTGCTTTACTGAGTTGTAAAGAGCCAAGTTTATTGCATGATATGGTGAGGCTTTTCGTGTGTGTTTTGGAGGCCAAGGACCTTCCCGTGGGGGATACATACGTGAAGCTTAGACTCGCCAAGGTCAAGGCCAAGACAAAGATTTTGAGGAACACGTGCACCCCCGTTTGGAACCAGGAGTTTAGCTTCAAGGTGCATGATGCCGAGGATGTGCTCGTTGTGTCTCTTGTTAATCATGATAATGAGAGCAGGGTAGTCACTGGTTATGTGGTGGGCGAGGTACGGATACCTGTTGGCTCAATTGCTTTGGAGGAAAACCAAACCTCGCTACACAGCTGGTTCTCTCTTGAAAGCCCCCCGACTGGGAAATTTTTCAATAAATATTGTGGTTTGTTTCCCTCTCTACATTACTTGCATACACTAGCATTAACACAATCATATTCTCCAATTGTTTACCACATGAGTTAACTAACAAAATGTCATAGTAAATATGATTCTTAAGAAAGATTTTACAAAATGCATAAACTTTCATATACTTTTATGGCTTGTGACTAGATACACAATTCTATAACTTGTCATTATACATAATAAGGGTATTATACTTCATGCTTACATGTTTATGTTTCTGTGTAGTTTTGAACATCTTTGCGACATAAGAAACTTATATTAACTCAATGTCTGGTATGATCAGGGAAAATTCTTCTTACTGTTTCTCTTCATGGCAAAGACTGTGCTTCTTTGACCAAGCATAAGCATTCTTCAAATTCAATTGTTGCAGTTGAGAACTCAAAAGACTTGGAGGGTCTTCACACTTCATGTCGGGCACCTTATGATAAAGCGGGTGTAGGAAAACAGTGGAAATTTATTGCTAATTGTCTGCATAAGATTTTCAAAAAGAAAGAAGGAAACTCAAAGCCTGGGGATTCTTCAGAACAATCCACTTTATTATCTGATTGTGAAGATAGTGAGCAGGAAAAATCGTCTCCTTGTAATTTTGAAGAAGCTGTTGAAATAATGAAATCAGGAGATAACAAACCTGAGATGCCTGAAAATTTATCGGGGGGTGTTCTAGTAAATCAGATTTATTTAGTCTCTCCGAATGACCTTAATGTGTTTCTTTTTGCTCCCAATTCACAGTTTCGTAAGGAGTTGGCTGAAGTGCAGGGAATAACAAATTTGCAAGAGCGGCCTTGGACATGGAAAAATGGAGATGTGTCAAGTTTAACACGAGTTATTTCCTATAAAAAAGCTGCTACAAAATTGATTAAGGCAGTTACCGCCACTGAGGAGCAAACCTACATTAGAGTGAGTACAAAGGAATTTGCCATACTTGTTAGTGTAAGCACACCAGAGGTCCCATATGGAAATACATTTAGGATTGAATTGCTTTACAAGATAATGCCTGGTGGAGAGGCATCTTCAGGAGAGGAATCCTCCCATCTTGTTGTGTCATGGGGCATTGTCTTCATTCAAAGCACAATGATGAAAGGCATGATAGAAAATGGGGCAAGACAGGGATTGAATGAGAATTTCAGCCTGTTCTCCGAGAAACTTGCGCAGAATTTTAAGGTACAAGATAAGACAGATTTACCAGACAAGGAATATTTGTTGGCAACATTGCAACCTGAAGACCAATGGCATTGGTGGCAGGCAATTACATACTTTTGTAATTTCACTGTGTTTTCCACCATTTTCATGTGTTTGTATATATTGGTGCATATTTTATATTGCGGTCCAAGTCCACTTCAGGGCTTGGAATTTAGGGGGCTTGAATTGCCAGATAGCTTTGGGGAGCTCATAATAAGTGGAGTTTTAATCATCCAGTTGCAGCGTGTTTATAGTATGCTGTCTCACTTTATTCAAGCTAGATTTCAAATGGGTAAGTATGCATATCATTTGAACATACTATTATGCTTGTTATCTCTGTCAAGTGGCTTCATCTGAGGTACCACATTCTTCACTTTTTTCTAATAGGAACTGACCATGGACTCAAAGCTCATGGTGTTGGATGGGTTCTTACTGTGGCTTTAATTGAGGGAGTTGACTTGGCCTCCTTGGAGTCAGAAGGGTTGTCAGATCCCTATGTAGTTCTGACGTGTAATGGACAAACAAGATCAAGCTCTGTCAAGCTTCAAACGTCCAATCCTCAATGGAATGGTTTTACCTTCTAACTTGTTGATAGTTATCTTATTTGTAATAACTTTGCTTTGTTATGGGTATATCTTCACTGAAATTCTCTATTGGCATTTATACTTACATGCAGAAATATTAGAGTTTGATGCTATGGAAGAACCGCCATCAGTTTTGAATGTGGAAGTTTTTGATTTTGACGGTCCATTTGACCAGGATGTTTCACTTGGACGTGCTGAGATCAATTTCCTAAAGCACACATCAACTGAGTTAGCAGACATGTGGCTCTTGCTCCAAGGAAAGCTTGCTCAATCTTCTCAGGCAAAGTTGCACTTGAGAAATTTCTTGGACAATAATAAAGGTGTTGAAACAATCAAGGAATATTTGGAGAAGATGGAAAAGGAAGTAGGCAAAAAGGTAAGCATTAGGAATCTGACTTGCTTCCTTCCCCTTGCCCCATGTACATGCTTTGGTATTGGTCTTATGCAGTTCACCCTAACCTACTTTATTTTAGAACATTTAGACCTATTTATTGTATATAACTGAATAGTTGAATGGCAGTTGAATCTTAGATCACCACAAAGAAATTCCACATTCCAGAAATTGTTTGCATTGCCCCCGGAAGAATTTCTCATCAAAGATTTCACTTGTTACCTCAAGAGAAAAATGCTTTTACAGGTACTACATGTGGTTGACAATTTGACATATTTAAACACATTTTTAATAACATTGTTTAGGTATCAAGTGGAGAATTGTTCGAATAATATGAAATGTTGACTTAATATATAATAATTTTTCTGGTGATGTTTAAGTGATGGACTCCATAATTTAAATAAAGGATGGTTTCCTGCTATAGGGTCGGCTGTTTCTTTCAGCAAGGATTATGGGGTTTCATGCCAACATCTTTGGACACAAAACAAAATTTTTTTTCCTTTGGGAAGATATTGAAGAGTTACAAGTGCTTCCTCCATCATGGGCAACAATAGGAAGCCCTACGTTGGTTATAATTCTGCGACGAGGTCGAGGTCTTGATGCAAGGCACGGTGCAAAGACTCAAGATGAAGAAGGGAGACTTAGGTTTCATTTTCAGTCATTTTCATCATTTAGTGCTGCCTCCAGGTATGAACAAGGCATGCTTATATTCCTAGTCTTATATATTGATGCCCTCTATTGACATCACAATTTGTTTCCATAAAAGAACAATAAAGGCCTTGTGGAGAACTAGAATTCTGAACCCCTACCAGAAAGAACAAAATACAGCCGAACATGAAGACCAAGAAGGCTTTGTAATTCCAGAAGACTCTGCATCTATCTTAGAAAATGAAGAAAAAATGACCAGAATTTTCTCTGCAGAACTACCAATCAAGGTAAGCAACCAATTAATAGTACCACAATAAAACTAAAGATAGAATTAGGCTCTCTAAAATTATTTTGTGTGTAGTATTATGTTTGAGTGTAATATTAAATTTATCTATGGCTCTAATGAGTTGTGTTACGTAATCTGGCTCAGCTGATGTCACTTATGGGAATTTTCGATGGAGGAAAGCTGGAGCATAAAATTATGCTGAGAACAGGATGTATGAACTATGAAACTACCTCGTGGGAGCTAGTAAAACCTGATGTCCTTGAGAGGCGTGTTTCTTACCGATTCAATCGACAAGTGTCAGCTTTTGGAGGTGAAGTTACATGCACACAACAAAAATATCCAAATGCAAACACTGGAGGTTGGACTGTGACTGAAGTTATGGTTCTTCATGGTGTCCCATTTGCAGATCACTTCCATGTATGCTACCGGAAACTCAAACTTCAATTATTTTGTGATAAAATAACTTCGTTCGTCTTGTTCCATTGAAGGGTATCTAATCTTCTTTGCCTGCAGATTCATTTTAGGTTCGAAATTGAGAAATCATCTCTTGGTGAATGTGCCTGCAAGTGTGATGCTTACATTGGTATTATGTGGCTTAAGAGCTCCAAGTTTCAGCAGAGGATCAACCGGAACATAATAGCCAAGTTTAACCTTCGACTGAAGGATATATTGGAACTGGTTCAGAAAGAGATTTTGCTAATGTGTCAGAACTCACTTGGATAAGTATTATGTTAGGGGGGTCTAACTAATGTACAAGGCAAAAGAAACATGAGTTTTCTCTTAGCTTTCTGAAATATCTTATCAGCTATGATATTTTGTATTATTTTCTAATGCTTAGTTCAAACTTTGTTTACCGTTTTCTATCCACTAAATTATGAGAAAGTTTGCATGGTTTTTATAAAGAAATTCGATGGTTTGGAAAAACTAGAACATAATAATTGTGAAATGAATAATTGAATGAAGCACACAACCAAACCTAGAAAAAACGTTAACCACTTAAAGAGACCACGCGGATTCAATTTTTAGGCATCTCTAGCAAACCCACCATTCAGATTTGGGGAACCGTGGATGTTGAACGTTAGCCAGGCCAACTTCTGATAAAGTTCAGCAAGGGTTCGATACAGAGGACAATGGAAAGTGACATGATGGAGAGAGTTTTTTATTCCAATTCCCTTATGTCGATCAAGTTACTATACCATGTTTTTGGTATTTGGGCAACACATACACCTAAAATATTAATTAAAAATTCTTCTAGTTCATAGGTTACACTAAGCTATGCCAAATGTAGGATTACAAAACATATCCATCAGAAGCCCTAGAAGCATGCACATTATATGATAACCATGTAGCTGTTGTTGCACCAACGTACGAACACACTACACAGGAAGGCGCAAACTTTCCTGGAATCTGATATCAACTCTCATCAAACCCATTTTAGAAACAATCTCCAAATAAAAAGTAGGTTGGGGCCAACACTAATCAAACCACTATTTATAGCAATAAAAATAAAGTAAGTGTTAAATTTATGAGTTTTTCTTTACTTTAATTTTGAATTTTAAATAAACTTTACATGGTGATTTCATTTATGTTGAAATTTTATATTGTATGATTTGTTTGTTGAATATTTTAAATTTTAAGGAAATCAAATAATAAGATAAAATAATTTTTAGATTTTACATATAAGATTCCATATGAATGAATTTGTAAGATTAATTTTCTCTATTTTTAATCTTCAAATTTCATCACTTCAATATTTTATTTTACAAAGTGTTATCAATTAAAATATGAGTTGAAGTCTCACCTCAAATACTGAGAAAATTTGAGTAACTTATGGAAAATACTTTAAATTTAATGCTTTAAAGTTTTAAGATGAAAGTAGTATAATATTTTTTATATAATTAATTTATATTTTATTTGTAAGAATTTTTATTGTTAATCCTCTCAAAAATATTTAAAATGAATAACTTTAAAAATAAAAATAAAAATTTAGCTACATATTATATAAATATTTAGTTATATGAACTTTTGGTTGGTACTATTGGTCACGAGTAAAATAGATGTAAGAGTTTTTTGAATTCTTCGGTGGAAATAAGGGTCCTTCTCGGATTTCTCCAACCTCTATTAACGTAATTTTAAAAAATAAAAATAAATTCTAAAGTGAGTTTGAGTTTTATGAGAGGAGCTAAAAAGGGTAGATTTCCCCTCATAGAGTATTGAGATTTTTTTCTTCTATTATCAATGACTTTTTCTTTTCTTTTTAATTATTTCGCATCATTAATACTAAATACTACATTGTTGTACCTTTAGTGTAACCTATACAAGGATATTTGTTACAAAAATAAATTTTAATTAAGATTATTTTAATTTAAGAGATAAGAAACCTTTTTAATTTGTTTTCTTTGAAAAACAAAATAATGGATGATAATGAAAACTTCTGTATTTCTTCTCTCCCTTAGTTTGATTCACTCACAGCAACCTTCAATTAACCATTTTACTATTCTCCTCACTCAATTCAAATTTCACCATTCCTCATTGATTGGCTTTTGCTTCTTCAGCATTCAATTTCCTTAATCAAAGCTGATAAATTGATACAATCTATCTCTTAAAAGAGATTTTCTGACCACCAATTTTCTTTATAAATACCATTACACTGAAAAAGAAAAAGGGAAAGAGTCAGAGAATAGTGAGGAAAAAAGTATGAGAAATAGAGAAAAGAGAGTCTGAGAATAGAGGAAAAGAAAGTATGAGAAATAGAGAAAGAAGATTTTGAGGAGAGAGTTCGAAAAGAGGAGGAAGGGTCTCAGAAGAGAAGTAGAAAAAAAAATCTGAAAAGAAAAAAAAAAAAAAGAGAAGAGAGTAGAGAGAAAAACTGAAAATGCTGTAGAAAGAAACTCAATGTAGAAAATTTGTTAGAAGAGAAGCAGAAAAAAAAGAAAAAAAAAAGAGATAATTTATGTAAAGAAGGAGGAACAGAAACTCAAAGGAAAATACAAGAGCAAAAATTAATGCTATAATCTGGTAAAATTCTTTTCTGACACTATCAACTTCCTTCATTTCAACTTTCGCATGTGTTTTTAGTGTAAATATTTTCAAATGCTCTCTAAAATTTGTAGTTAAATCTTATATTGATCTTAAATGTCATTCTCATCATTTTACTAAAGTTTTCTTTTCCAAAGAAATAAGTTTCAGCCATCACTATGAAATGGATCCAGTTTTCCTCTATCAAGCTTATATTAGTTTTATGTATCAAACCCTATCAAACTGATGTGGTAGCAGTTCTAAAATTGTTTGAATATCTTTTGTGTAGAGTCTAACTATATTAGTTTGAACATCGCATCATAGTTGTTGTTGTGTTTGCATGCATGAAATTATTCTCAGTGAATTTATTTTTTTTTTCTATTTTTTCATTTGTTGTATTAAGATAATGTTCTTTAAATTCAGTCTCATTCACAGAATCCTTACTCATTTTATTAAAATTTAGATCTTAGGTTATTATATACATTTTCCTCTTATTTTATTACTTTTTTTTTCAAGAATATGATATTTGAGTTTATTTATTAACTACTGTAATAATATAAAAAAATGATTTTATAAACCTAATTAAAAAAATATTTATATCAAATAAGAATATGTGAAAATGCATGATAAACTACAAATAATAAAAGATATTTATTATTATTTTTTACAACAACAATAATTTCCTTTTTTAAATATGCAAGTTGAGACAACTTGTCATCTCAGATTTTATTCAAATTAAAATGCACAAAGTTGAACATAGTAATAATTCTAAACAAATAAATTATAATTTCAGAAAATAAAATCATATATTTTAGTTGATTAACATTTGATTGTATATATTAAATAAATTGGATTTGACATCAGTCGTAATCTTTGTAACTTAAGATGAACATGGAGACTACTAAAAATCATTGATCTAGATTAATATAATTTTTACAATGATATCAGTAAAGAAATATTTGTAAGAATTTGACTTAGATGTATTTTCTGTCAATTCTATTTTTAGGACATATGAACTGTCATAGATCAAAAATCCAACTTTAATTAAAATAAAATATAATTAAAAAAATCAACTCACAAATATTTTTTTATCATAGGTAACTTTAATTCTCCATTTGAAGATACGTAGAGCAAGAATTATTCCTAACGAGACAAAAAAAAATATTAGTATTTTTTATAATAATTATTTTCATAATAATATTAATATAAAATAAATATATAATGAGTATATTAAAACCAACTTTTAAATTTTTTATGGATGAAATTAATATTTTAAAATATAAATAATATATTTAATTAATTACGTGTAACCATTTTAAAACAAACATTTTAGGGTGTTAAATATTAGTTACCTATAATCCACTTTCAAGCTCGTACGATTCCCTTTTTTTATCTTTATTATTTTATTTTTCATCGTCTCGTTGTAACCCTAGTTGCAACAAACATTTTTCTTTTGTTTTTGTTTCTTCATTTATTAGTAGAAGATATATGCAAAACTTATGGTATTTGTTCTAATTTTGATGCTCAAATTATTCTTGTTTAAACTTGATCTTTTATTGATCATGTATATTGAAACTTGTTTTAAATTTCAAAGATTTTAGTTTATGTATGAAAGTTTGTTTAAAAATTTGAATATTCTTCTTTTACTAGTTTTGAGTGTGATATATTGTCAATCTTTGTTGTATCTCCTAATCAGCACCATCCCAATAGTTGGTTGGGCTTTTCTAAAAGCTTTCAAATTTTATGTGATATCTTAGATTTGTCACCCATAGTGAACAAAATTATATACTTTTATTAGTTAAAACATGGTTCTGAGGCGGGTTAGGTATCTTTAAATGACTCTCAACCCAGTAGTTTGTTTACGGTTTATTCTTCCTCTTTTAAAAAATGTAAGAGTTATTTCTTTAAGGTTAAATGTGCTCGAAAAGACACTTCTCCACAATATTTCTTCTATTTTGACCATACAACTCGATTTCCTTTATATGAGAGGGTTCCTCACAAATTTAAATCTCATGTTGAACATTTACTTTCACCCACCAAAGATAAAGAATATATAAAAATTGGTGGTGCTCGGGAACCTACTAAAATAGTTGAGCATGCTCCTATAAGATTATAGATTGTGAATGTTGAAAAGACAACAATTTCAGCTATAGATGTTGGTTGATCAATTCCAAAGACCACCAAGATTACTTTTGTTGATGTAAATCTAGAATCTAATCATAACACTCCCCTCACTATCTCCTCGGTGGATTCTTTGAGAAGGTCCTCCTCATCCTTTAACTTATGTACTTCACAGAACATAAGGACCCTTGAATCATCTTGACCACATCTCCATCAATAATCCTAATGTGAACTCTATGTAGCATATTAATCTTACCAATGATGGGATGAAAGTTGGTGATGTTTTCCCTTACCCTTTTGATGTTGATATGTTTAGAATGGTTGATCCCCAGAATTCTCTTGAGTCCGCTGAAGTTATGATAGCTACGTGAATTATCCATTATTAAAAAAGTATTATTATTGATATGCATTGAGGAAAAGTTTAGCAGGCAAGGGATTTTTTTTTTATATTTGAGAAAATAATGAGATCAACTTCAAAATACTTTATTTGATCGTAAAATTGCTTTATCTGCTAAGGTTAAAGAGATCATGCTATTTTACATCAAATAAATGATCTGCAAAGTCAAAATATTCTTTCTATTGTT